TTTCAAATCCAACCGCTGACTGCCAAAGACGTCTATAGACGTCTTTTATGTTTTTCAATGCGAGTGGCTTGGGGGACGATCGGCGAAAGTTTTCCCGTAAATATCGGCTTCTAGACAGAGTATGGACTAACAAATTTACCCTCTAGGTAGCTGTGCCACTTTTGATGGGAGATTAGCATAGATTGTAAGCAAATAAAAACAAACGCAATAGTTCGCTATGAGAGAAATGGCGCCGGTGAGACGCACGTCGAAGAAGAACGGAATGAGGTAGAAACAAAATATTTTTTCCTGATGAAAGAAGAGAGTCTACTCTTTCTTTTGGTGTGTTCGGTGTTTACACAGTCATAGCACAAACTATTCTGTGGCTCTTGAAAAATCAGTCAAAATTCTCAAAAAACTCTGGCAGTGAGCGACTCTCTGTTCTGAAAATGGCTGGCAGTCAATGAGTTAAGGAGATGTGGTTTAAAAACAAACAAAAAAACAACAAAAGGTTTCTAGAAATGTTGCTGTTTCAAAATAACAAGTGACCCGAGCCAACATGACTAGATAGTTTATGCCTTTTAAAAACATTTGTTAAACGTAGGGTTGTCACAATACTAACATTTTCAACTCGATACCGATACTCAGGAAAATATTCACAAGGATAAACACAAATACCCCAAAATTTAACAGAATTTGGACAGGTTAGTGTATTTGGTTTCAAACTGACCTATTACTGATGTTATGGTGGCCGGTAGCCCGTATTAATGTTGGTTTGTTATTGTTAGCCATTAGCCGCAGCTAGCAATTCAAGGCTAACGTCACGTTAATGATCATAAACAACAGAAATAATGGTATCGATACTCTTGAAAATGAGTATTGTATCCAGACAAAACATTTTAGTATCAATTCTTTTTGGAATATTGATACTTCTTACAACCCTAGCTAAACGTTCTTCATGGTGTGGCTTACACTCTGCTCTCTTGTTTACAGGTTTGCCTCCTGGACCTCAGTTCGTCCGGGCGCTGGGCCCCGCCAGCCCCTCCCTGGCCTCCACCCCCCAGGAGCCCCCCCACCCGGCCGCCCCCCGCCACCCGACCACCCCCCCCCTACCCCAGCCGCAGGTCCGACCGGCCCCGGTGCTCCGGGTCGCGGCGGGCCCCCCGGGCTCAGAAACCCAGCCCCCCAAGCCCCCCCCCCCCCCCCAGCCGCAGCCGCACTCCCCCATGCTGCCCACGGGGACGCCGGTCACGCTGTTCCAGCCCGTGCCGCCGGGCCACATCCTCACCGCCAGGGTGCAGGGCGTCTGCCCCCCCCTCAGCCAGCACCCGCCCCTAACACAAAGCCCCCCCGTGTCCGGGGGCGCCCCGCTGGACCCCCAGTGCGCCGCCCCGGCGTCGGCGTCCTCCTCTTCCTCGGCGGCCTCGCGCGTCACCTTCCAGAACATCGCCCCCAAACCGGCGCCGGCCCCGTCGGGCGGGCCGGCGGGCGCCATGGCCCCCCCCGGCCAGCAGAGCGTGGTCATCGTGGGGCCCGGCCCGCAGCCGAGCCCGGCCTACAGCCCCGCCATCCACCAGATCGTCCTCACCAGCCCCGCCCAGACTCTCCAGATAGCCGGGCAGGCCGGGGGGGCCCCCGCGCCCTGCCCCCCGGCCCCCCACCCCAACACGCAGGTCCAGCCCGCTCAGACGGTCGGCCACGCGCTGTCCGGCAAGCGGCATCCGCAGCAGCCCCTCCAGATGAGCCCCCCCCCTCAGCCTACCTCCACCGAGTCCAGCTTGATCAAACAGCTGCTGCTTCCAAAGCGGGGGCCCTCCACGCCGGGGGGCAAGCTCATCCTGCCCGCCCCCCAGGTGCCCCCCCCCAACAACACGCTGGCCCCCGGCCCGCAGGTCCTCTACCAGGCGGGCTACGGCCCCCAGACCCCGCCGGCCCCGCCCCCGCCGCTCAGCGTGCAGCTGCTTCCGGGCCAGCTCCCCGCCGCCCCCCCCGGGGCGCCGGCCCTCCAGGCGGTCCAGCTCCTCCCCGGCCAGCTCATCTCCACGAGCAGCCCGGGGGGGGCCGCCGCCGCCGCCATCATCCAGGCCCCCGCGGGGGCCGGACAGGTCACCTTCACCGTGGTCCCCAACACTGGCTTCACCGCCTCCGCCGCCGTGGCCGTGGCCCCCGCCGCCCCCCCCGCCCCCTCCTGCCCGCCCGGGACGGTCCCCCACCACGTCCCCGCCGGCCCGACGCCCCCGCCGCCGCTGCCCGCCCCCCTCCGGGGAGACAAGATCATCTGTCAGAAGGAGGAGGAGGCCAAGGACGCCACGGGGCTGCACGTCCACGAGAGGAAGATCGAGGTGATGGAGAACTCCTCGTTGGCAGAGGGAGAGGCCCCCAACGGCAAGGCCAGCAACGGCGACGTGGCGGGGGGGGGGCGCCAAGCTGCTAAACGGCCAGAAGTGCGCGGAGTCGAATCTACCTCCTTACCACTCAGGGAACAGCCAGGGGGCGCTCAACGGCCCCGCCGCCCAGAGCCCCCCGGCCAACGGGAAGCCGGGCCCCGAGGCCCCCGTCGCCGAGGGCAACGCCGACCCCAAAAAGGCCCTGGTCAACGGGGTGTGTGACTTTGACCGGGGGGAGGGCGTCGGCACCAGAAACATTCCAAATCACGTGGCTTCCAAACAGCACCTGGGCAACGGGGAGGTGGGCCCCGCGGGCCCCCGCCTCCCCAGCCCGCCCCCCCCTCCGCAGGACACTGCCAAAGCCCCGCCGGCCGAGCGCCTGGCCAACGGGCCCCAGCCCGCCGGCCACCGGCCCTCCTCGGAACTGACCAACGGGCCCCTGGGGCCGGCGCCCAGGCCGCAGGCGCTCGCCAACTCCTCGCTCCCGCCCGCCGCCGCCCCCTCCCCGGGCCCCCCCGCCGCCGCCTCGCCGGCCAACGGGGTGGCGCCCGAGGCCCGGGGCCTCAAGCGGCCGGCCGAGAGCGAGGAGCGGGGCTCGCCGGCGCCCTCGGGGATCCCCAGCAAGGTGGGCGTGCGCATCATCACCATCAGCGACCCCAACAACGCCGGCAGCAGCTCCACCATGGTGGCCGTGCCGGCGGGGGCCGACCCAAGCACAGTAGCCAAAGTAGCAATAGAGAACGCCACCCAGCAGAGGAACTGCTCGCCCACGCAGGCCGCCGCCGGCACGGTGAGTCGGCGCCCGTCCTCTGGCCTCCGCTCACTCATTTGAGCCAAACGTTTTCAGTAACTGCTCTCAAGATGATTTTTTTTTCTTTTTATTCTTTTTTAACCTCCTGACTCCTCGGACATTGCAAGTTTGCCTCTCCATACCATTATACTTCCTTTTTCTTTGGACTTTGACCTCTTGGTCTCCTAGGGTTGGGGTTAGGGTTAGCCCTAACCCTAACCCTAGGGTTGCTATCAGACACTGATGACAATCAGACAATGATTTAAATCTAGAGTGAAATTATTTAAATCTAAAGTAAAATGGTTTGAGATATTTTTTTAAAATAAGTCATTTGGACTGTCAGAACCAAATTGCAAAAACATCTAAATATATAAACAAACATTTCAAATATAAAAGGTATGTAAAAGTCTAGTCATTTAACGTATTAGGTCCTGTTAATCCCAGATATCTTCAGCCCCGCATCCAAAACTGGAAACGTTCCAGCGAGGGAGCCGAAATAAACAAAGGCGAACCGGTTTTAGACACGAATGTTCGGAGGTTAAGAAGGTGAAGCCCGCTAAGACCCCGCGGCTCTCACCGATACCCACCTCCCACAGCAAAAAGGGGCTGAGAGAACAGCTTCTGCCAGCAGGGTCGGCTTTAGTTACATCTCAGCCCACAGCACTGACCCGGAGTCTTAAGTTTTTGCTTAGTTGTTTGTATTTTGGCAGTGTGTCCATCGTTGTTGTGTTTTTTTTTCTTTTCGCGTACTCATAAATCCCCGCCTTGCCCCCGCAGCCCGCCGCCACCCCGTCCCCGCCCCCCGTCTCCCAGCCGGCGCTGCTGGCGGGCAGCCACAGCCCCCACCCCCCAGCACAGCAGAGCCCCACGGCGCCGCCGGAGCCCAGCAGGAAGGCGGGGCAGAACTTCAAGTGTCTGTGGCAGTCCTGCAAACGGTACGGAAGGGGGGGGGAGACGTCTCTCCGACCCACCCTCTGTGGAAAAGCCTCCGCTGATTGGTTTCTTTCCTCTTTTTTCAGGTGGTTTGAAACTCCCTCGCAGGTGTTTTACCACGCGGCGACGCAGCACGGAGGCAAAGACGTATACGGGGGCCAGTGTCAGTGGGAGGGGTGCGAGCCCTTTCCCCGGCAGAGACTGTCCTTCATCACACATTTGCAGGTAAAAAAAAAAAAGAAAAATCCCCAGCGAGGTCTTCTTAATGCCTGAGTCAAAACATTAACAATCCGTTTTTTTTTCCCGCTCCGATCTTTTAGGATAAGCACTGTTCTCGAGAGGCTTTGCTGGCCGGACTGAAACTAGAGGAGCAGCAGGCACAAAGTCCCAGTCAGACCTCCCAGTGCGTAAACCCGCCCTCGTCAGTTAATCATTTAATCCACACTGTCTCGTCTCTGATAGTTTGGCTGACTGTGTTGTGCTTGATGTCTGGTGCAGGACCCCGCCGGCGGCAGGCAGCGCTCCGGCACAACGAGCACCCAAAGCAATCGTCAATCACCCCAGCGCGGCCCTCATGGCCCTGCGCCGAGGCTCCCGAAACCTGGTCTTCAGGGACTTCACAGTAAGTAGATCCACGCCGAAACAGTTTGGTCCGTTCCTGAGTCTCTCCCCAAAAAAATACAAAAAGTCAGCGGTTTCTCAACTGAAACCCTCTCCTCTTTTTCTGCTTCTAGGATGAGAAAGAGGGACCAGTGACCAAACACATACGACTAACTGCTGCCTTAACATTAAAGAACATCGCCAAGCACTCGGACTGCGGTCGCATGTAAGTGACTCCGGAGTCCACGACGCAAACCGGTTCAACAGGTTGCAGACGATGTCAAATCAGGGGAAAAGAGCATTTGAAAGACTTCCGATCAGACGTTCCATTGCTGAAGAGTAGGGTCGTCCACCTGGTTGGCCAAGGGGAAACGCATCACACACTGGTTTAACTTTGAAATAACGCAACGTCGCACCAAAACGTCAGATATTTAGCCGGAAAATAACAGCTGGATTTTCCGCACTATAAGGCGCACTGTCGATGAATGGCCTATTTTAAAAAAGATTGTTCATATATAAGCCACACCGCATTATAAGACACATAGAAGAGAAGCTCAAGTAGTGGCTGGGTAATGTCAGTTACCTAGTGTTTTATCTTTTAACAACAATATATAATTGGGAGTGCAACATTTTTATCAGGTAGTGTAGGGGAACTGTTCCTCGATTCATTAAAAACGTAAAAAACAGTCTGATACCGTTATGGTGAATCAAATGTTGGTGCAATCACAACCTATAGCGTCTAGCATAAAGCTGACGAGCTTTTCTCATTAAAAATGTTTTTTTTTAATTGCCGCTATAGAATTATTTGAACAACCTTTTGTCGTAGTTAGGATCAGATTCAACATTTACCTTTAATGTCCATGTTTTTTTAACAGCCGCCTTCTCTTACTGCGTCGACTTCTAAAATGGGTACTAATAGACAGTACTGCGAGTCCCCAGAAGGTGGCGCCTCTTCGCCAGGCATGTCGGTTTTTGAGAGAATCGAAGGCTTTTAGGTGCGCCTTATAGTGCGGAAAATAAGGTGGTTGCGTTTAGTGTTGCTTATTCAGTGGTTTTATTTTTATGTGTAGCACGCTTACTGTTCAGAACAGGAGCAGGGATCACGTGTACAGCCATTGGAACCCTTGTATTCGGCCACATGATTTGAAATGAGTAAGTAGACGAGGGGAAACGATATGGACAACCAACCAACCAATAGACAAAAAAAAAAAAGCAAAAATTTAACCCAGGAATGGGGTCAGTGAACCTAAAATAAGCATCATAGAGAGCTACCACATGTCTGCCCTCTTTACTTCACCGCAAAATACCTGTGGGGTGTATATTAGAAAACAGAGTGAGATAGAAAAGACAAATCATGTTGAATCAAAGCATTTCCTGCTTCGGGGTTTAAAAGCTAGCAGTGTAGTTGGTTCTCTGCATATGAAGGCAGCGTGTTTGTGATGCTACAGATGTTTAACAGCTCTCTGTCCGTCCGTCCCTCAGGTTGGTAAAACGGCATGAGACGCACCTCTCCGTGCTCGCCCTCAGCAACATGGAGGTCTCCACCACGCTCGCCAAATGCCTTTACGAACTCACGCGCTCGCTTCAGGCTTAACGCCAAAAGGACAACGACTACCGCCCCCCCCAAAAAAAAACACGTCTCCTGTGACTCGGGGAGCAGGCCGCCGCCGAGCCGTAGCAGGTCCTCAAAGGACGGGGGAGACGCATCGGGCCGGGGGCGGGGGGGGGGTGCGAGCAGAGGTCTGGAACCGGGACGAAGACCGTCCTCCTGTCGCACCCGCGACCCCCCCCATAACTCATCCCCACCTCGTCGCCAACCTGTGTCCAAACCACCGCACTCCCCCCCCTCTTCCCATCCACTCACAACCAGAAGAAGAAATTTTTTTAAAAAAGGAAAGAAAAAAAAAACTGCCCAGGGGTCTTCCACCAGCTGCCCACCAGGGGGAGCTCTTTGAGACTGCTTCCCCAAAGGGACTCCACCCACGAAACCCCAAAAAACACGAGCACATTTTGTTGAACTTTTCTTTAGGTTTTTTGTTTTGTTTTTTTCTTCCCCCCACAACAACTTTTGGTCCCCGTAAATCTTCCCGAGAATGCAAGTGAGAGTGCGAGCGACTGTGAGCTGTGGGTGACCGAAAATTAACGCGAGGGAGGAGGGGGCTCAGGGGGCGGGGCCACGGAAAGCGCCCCACGTGTCGGGAGCAGGAAGACTCGGTCTCAACCGGTGCAGAGATTTTTTTTTGTTTTTGTTTATTTGTTTTGGGGTTTTTTTTGTCTTTAGAAACTCGGTAGCTTGATTTTCTTACTTGAGTCAATATATTTTCACTTATTTATTATTGAAATGAATACCATTACAATTAATAAAAAAGAATCCTGTAAATATGTTGTGTGTATATATATATAAAGAGGATCCTTTCATGCCGATGCAGCCACTGGAGAACTTGCTCTGTGGAGTAATAGAAGCATTACTTTGGCAGGATTTAATAAAGTAGTATGTTTTTTTTGTTTTTTTTGTTTTTTAATGATCCCTGGTCACTTGTATCTAATGTGATTCTATACTCAGCAGTGGATGAATGTACTTAAAACTTGTAAATACTTCTGCAAAGGTACTGATGCTGTAAAGCTTAGGGAGGGGGAAAAAAACAGTTTTTTGTGGAACTGTGACATTTTTTGTATTATAATACCTTGTAGAACTCATTTTGCTGGCTGAAAGAGTATGGAATAATATATCTCATGTCATTTTGTAGAAGAAAAAAAAAATATTGAAGGTATTCTCTTCCCTTCCTCTACCCTCACACACCCTCACCCCTCTACACGCGTGCACACACACACACACACACACACAAGGAACATGTATCCACTGTAAGCGTTTTGTCATTTGTACGTGCACAGTGTGCGTACCAAAATTTTTTTGTATTTGTAAATTGGTTTAAATACATGGAGTTTTTATACAGGTTTTCTCCTGTGTTCTTTGCTTTACGTGCAGGTATGATATTTTCTTCACTACTTTTTTCTATCTTAATATAGTGTGGAGTTTTATTGTACTATTTTTTCATTCTTAATACCATGCCACATTCCGGCTCACGTCCTCAGACTGTCCTCTCTACCGTGTGTTGTGTAACATTTGACTGCCTGTCGTATTAGCATCTGACCGGGGCGACCCAACCATCTTCATTTCTGCGGTGTCAGTAGGATGTGTGACTATACATAGACCTAACAGTCTGTTAGAGATTGGCTTTATTTACTTTGGTGACTGTTTATAGTTTTTAAATAAAACACTGAACATTTTGCTTGGGGTTCACTCTCATTTCTTGCTTTTTTCCCCCCCAATTTATTATTGTTATAGGAGCAAATCATGACAAATGTCATCTAAAGACCTCTCAACAGTTCTATTTAAAATATTTAATTCTGAATTATGCTGGATTATTCTATAAAAATGTTAAAAATAAAAGGAAAATCGACACATTTAACTTGGTTAAATCCCCCGTTCTGACCCTAGAAAGACATTTTGTTCTATTGCTTTTCCATTTTCTTTCAAAGAAAAAATGCAGCCTCAGAAAGGACGCCCATCCTACTTGACCCGGCAGTTTGAGAGGACAAAAAAAAAGAGAAAAAAAAGGGGACAATGAGCTGTAATACACCGGGCCCCAGATATCTGCTGAGACAAAAAGAAACACGACAGTAAGCCACGCGTTGCCAGAGAAAAAAGGAGTGCATCATGGGAGATCCCTTAAGAGTCTAGGTTGACAAGCATAACTAACTTTAAGGATTTTTGTTTTTTGGCTTCCAGGGTTACATGGAACACATAAGATGCAGATCAGAGTCCAGACGTTCAGCAAATAGACAAGGTTTTTCATATTTTGGGGCTGTAACTTGTAACAGAAGCATCAAAGGTTATTGTATTGACCAAGCACACACCTCAAACTCCATAGTATATTCAATAGAAGCAAGATTTGTTGATTTGGACTCGTTTGCAGATGTGGAAAGCCACAGTAAAACTTTAAAACTGTTTTTTGTGTGCTCAAGTGTGCTCGAAGCAACTATCCGAAGCAAGTATCGTATTATTTGCAGGCAATAATATTTCCCACTTATTCTGGAAGGGTTTTGACATAATTTTATAAATACAACTAAATAAATGTCTGAATAATATAGAAACAAATGCACTGAAATACTCCTATGCATTAATACAACAGAACTCCTAGAATGAATATAAACATTTAATTGACATATTTATAAATATTTTTGACCAACGCTCTTTCCAAATTAAGAATATAACGTCTCATTTATGTAGATTTTACAGTAAAGCTATTTGTTTTTCAGAATTCTACCTGTTGCTTTATTTATTTTTGGGAGTAAATATAACTAAATGGATAATGCTCTCTGTAATGCTCTGGGGTTCCAATAGGTGGCGCCAGAGGGGCAAACTAGCAGCCAGACCGCAAGACATGTGGCTTATACTTTCTTAAAGCTACCCTTCAATTTTAGGTTAAAATAATTCCCAGATACAACTATTTATCAGCAACATTTTGTGGAATATTGGACGCTAAAACCCATTTCGTCGGCGGAGACCAGCCACAGTTGAATTCAAAAGGTGAGTAACGACACTTTATGCTAGCCAACTGGAGCTAAGTGCTAAGAGGCTAGAAGCGACGTAAGCAGGTGCTGTTGTTCAAACCAGCTTGTTAGCTTTTAGCTAAATACGCTCGCTGCCGCCTAGCTAGCTAACCTATGACCTTCAATGCAGTCTCGGTGGCTAATAATAAACACTGTTCAGGCGTCGCTGCTGTGCTAATAACAGTTAGCTAGCTCTTCGGTAGTTGTGTTTATAGCTAGCTGCAGTTCCCCGGCTAACAAATAACAACCGTGTTTCCACCGTCGCGTTGGCATTGGTTCTTCTTGTCGGTGCAGGTTTAGTTTCTCTTGTATACACAGGGGCGTACGGGGTAAATCAACAGTCGGTATTTACTTCTATCTGCCAGATAAGTTTCATTGAAACAAATCTAACTGTTTGCCAGAAGTTAGGAGTGTGGAGTCGAATGATTAGGCTACGCTTGTTTGGGGCTTCTAGGCTCTTTAGCTAGCCGGCAGCGACGAGCGGCTAAGTCTTCCGAATAACAAAGTTATCGTGACAGCTAAAACACCCAACTCAGTGGTGGCCTGCGTTGGCGTAGTCTCTTTTTGAGCTGTGGGGATTTGTACTTTAAAAAAAAGCTTCAAGACGGGGGGTAGAGAGTCGGGTTTGTTGCGGGAGCGTCACTTCGGATCAGATGTGTTATAAAGAAAAGCCCGGAACTGGTTTTTCGGTCAATTGTGAGAGCACCGGCGAAGGCTTTATGGTTCCGTGCCTCGCAGCCGGAGAGGCGCGATGGCCTGCGGGGGTTCTGGCTCCGAGTGACCCCCCGAGTGTAAACACCGAGTCCCGAAAACTGCCAAGTTGTTTCTGACTTTACTTGATCGCGGATCTCGTTGGCCTTTTGTCAAAAACACAAGGTGAGTGTCCATTGGGAAATAATTTCACTTTCACTTCACCATAAATCATCAACAGAGGGTGAAAATGAAGACCTAATCGTGTCTCTATAATGTTTCTAATATCGTGAGGCAAGTTGCTAAGTTAAGTAACCATCCCAGACAAGCCAGTAATATTAATAGGACATGCATGAAGGAATAGTATCTGTTTTACTTTGACAGTTTAGGTTGTGTTATTTCAAAACAACCTGCACAAGATTGTGATGACCAACCTCCTTAGGACAAATAGTTCCATTTTCAGAGGATGTACCTTGTCTTCTGGTACGTTCATACTAACACAGCTTTATAACCGTGTCATAAATGGTTTAGAAACCGTTCTAAATGCTAGAGTTGATGTTTCTGTTTGTGAATGTTCTTTCCATTTGAAAGGTATCACCAGCTAGCTGTGCTCGACATGAATTGCCAGACAATGACGGATCATGAGTAGCGTAAAAAGCCATCTTCACGTCCTCGTACCTGCTGTTATTTACGGTCATAAAGCCCTCTTTGTTTCAGCTCCTGTCAGCTGCATTGCATATAAGCCTCTGACTTTATACGATATAACCGGAGTTGATATTTTAAAAATCCACTCTGGTCCCCAGAACCCCCAGAATGTGAAAGTACCCGTCCTCATTAAGCAGGCCCGCTGACAGGAATAACTTTGTCTGCTGGAGATCGAGGAAAAGTCGCCGGCCGGCTGCTCTCCCGTGGCGTTTGGGGACATTCGGTTCAAGCTTGAAACAGACACTGAAACAAATGTTCATTTTTTCTGAAAACAAGGCAGAAATTCCGACGATAGCATCGGAACCGATGCCTCTGTTCGTTTGTTTTCCCTGCGTTTGTCAGCAACGACAATTAGCTGCACTGTTGGTGTCTCACTAGTTTTTTTGGAAAAGAAAACCACCCTTTTCCTCCTTTGCGTTTGGACCAACGCTGACCAGGAAGAAGAAACAGTGTCTTTCATTTAATTTCGAACTTTGTTTTTAGTCCTCGAGCAATTTCAGTCTACAATTGACAAACCTTGTCTGGAAGTAGTGGACTAAAGACTGTCGGTCTTACAGCCTCAAAAGCGGCCTAAATTTAGACTCAAAATGTCCCTTTCACTGCGTAGCTTGAACATATTTTTCTTTTTTAACCCACAGTTTATGAAGATTAATTTGTTTGTCACAAGGAAATTCTGTTACATACTTATCCGAAGGTTTACCTGTCGGACTCTCGAGTTTATTTTACCATCAGATATGAAATTCTACCTTTTCCTCAGATATGTCGATTACTTGCTACTTAGTCACCTTGACCTCCCGATACGCCTTGGTCCAGAACACAGTGGTACATCTGATCTCTGATCCCCCTCAAACAGCCCCCCCCCCCCCGTTTATTGAGCAACTCGGCCTGCTGGTAGCTTCTTGGGCTCACACAGACCCAGGCCACCATGGTACCTCTAAGAAAAATGATCTGACACTTAGCACGAGGAGTGGGTGGACAATAGTCAATTTTGTGACCATTTCAGTGAAGTGAAATTTTCACTGAGAGATTTTTGTGTGCAAATAATGAACTGAAAACTGGAGGAAAAAAAAATCAAATTACTGCGACCACAGCTTCTTTTCTCTCTTGAATATAGATTTAGGAAGTTTTTTTTTAACCAGATGACCCGGTTAATCAGTGGAGTCGACAGGGGACTCTCTCAATGATGCCAAATGCAACAGAAATAAGATCAAAAATGCATTTTCCGAGCCAGACGTTAGACCCGAAACAGTTTTCAGACATCCGTTAACATCTGCCCCCGGCAAGCCTTTGAATAAACACGTTTCTGTCTGTCGCAGTGGTGATCAGGACTGCCCGAGCCCAGAGATGACCGGAGCCGGAAGCGGTGAGACTCTTTACGGGTTTATTCATGGCTTTGAGACGTGTCACCGGCATTAGGAATCAGCACCTTTTTTTTAAATGTAATTCAATTTCTTTTGGGATGTTCAGGTGGCCAGGGCCCCCCGGACGGGCCGGATGCCGAGGAGGCCGAGAGGTGTCCCATCTGCCTGGGCATCCTGGCGGGGGCCGAGCTGGCCATGCCCGACAACTGCTGCCACCTCTTCTGCCTCCGATGCCTCCTGACGTGGGCAGAGGTGATGCTCGGCTCCGTTCCTCCCACCCCAACACAAACGCACTCCGCTCAGGCTTCGGTTTGAGAAGCCAGGCCGACTTACGGCCGTCACTCACTCAACTCGAGACAGCCAATGTGCCCAAAACCACGTCAGGCGAAGCATAAATTGCCGTCGGTTGCTTGAATCAGTCATTTTTATTTTTTTAACTTTAGTTTTCTTTGTTAACAGTCAAACAAAAACTCACACACAACATAAACAAAACTATACACTGTCCTGATTGGGATATGACTCAAGCTGGTAAACAATTTCCCATATGTCCAATTAGTCACTGCAATGTATGTAATCCACTTTGTTCATTTTTCCACACAGGAGTCCATCTTTAGTCTTATTCTGTGGGTCAAGTCCTCCATGACATATATGTCCTTAACAATTTTTCTTCTTTGTACCATTTTTTAGTGATTGTAGAGATCAAGATTTTAAACGGGTACCTGTCAGATTTACATAAAACATTTCCAAGATACAACACTGTGAATGTTTTGGGTATCTGGTAGCCAAATATTGCAACAATTGTACAATTCAAATGTAACCAAAGCCAAAAAACTTGCATGGTTGACATTCGTCTCCCCACATTTTCGCCAACAGGGTTGTGGGTTAGATTTTTATTGCTTGAATTGGTTTTCAATGTATTTACTTGGCTTTGCTGTGAAGTTTCAGACGTCGCCCTCCTGCCCAGTGGACAGAAGAGCCTTCAGTAATGTTTACAGATGGGACAGAAGCCTCAGCCTCGTGCAGGTCAGCCCCCCCCGTACCCCCCTCAGCTCGGGCCGGTCTGCTGCTTTAGCATGCAACACACACGCCGTTGAAACGGCAGGTTAAACGTTTGAGTTAAAAGCTGCGCGTCCTTCTGCTTCCCCCGCTCAGATTCCCGTGAGGAAGCGGCCGCCTCAAGCCGAAGCCCAGAGCTGCTGCTGCCAGAACCCAGAAGAAAAAGCTCATCTCAAGTGAGCGTCACCGAACCCGTCAGCCGACAGGATGTCCACAATTTAGTTTTTTATTATTAAAAGAATGTTTTTTTTTTCCAGAAATAAGCCCTCAAGAAGAACGAGGCGGCCGAAACCGGAGACGACAGCCGACGTTAAGACTAAAGGACTCGTTAGGAAATGTGCGTTTGATCCCCCCGTTTTTTGTTATTCCTCCCCCCCCACGTTGTATCCGCAGCATCTCACTGTTGTGTTTTCCAGGTAACGAGGAGGACCCCTCTTCAGTGAGCAGAAAAAAGGTGGGCTCCTCGACTCATCCCTCCAGATTTAAACGATAACGGTCACCAAAATCGCCGGACTTTTAAAACACATTTCCTCAGGTCTTCTTTTTAAAAGAAAAAGACCATCCATCCATCCATTATCAATACCGCTTATTCCCTGATGGGGTCGCGGGGAAGAAAAAGACCTCTCAACAAAAACGGGAGGAAATTAGTAAGACTGTTTTCGAATTAGATTTCGATTCAGCATTCGGTGTTTGAAAGTATAATTTAGATTTATCATGAGTGTCCAGAAGTCATCAGTTAAGGAAAACGAGGCTCTTCAACCTAAAAGTTTTCGGTTAATTTAGTTGCATTTGATTTTCACTAAATGTCTTCCAGACGTAGTCAATATTTCTTTGCTGCAGCAAGCTGTTAATTATGTTATTTTGGAGGTTTTGCTTCAGTTATTTACTCAAACACTTACAGAAAATACTTTTTATTGACTGGATGGAGTTCTAACAATACACGTCTGCCATCTAGTGGTGGCCAGCAGAAACTGCATGTGTTGGTGGACGGTTTTACCCGGCGTCTGACTCAGTTTTGTGTGTGTTTGTGTGTGTGGGGGGGTGTTTCTCACCGGGGTGCGATGCTATTTGATCTCACTGGGGTTCGATGTGTCTGTGGTTGTTTTGGGTGTTTTCGTTTGTCCAGGTGAGGGGAACAAAGTGCTGCGCGTGGTCGCCGCCCCCCTGCGTCTCGCTGACCACCTCATCACAGGACATGTGAGTGGGGTTTGTAGATGCCCCTTTAAAAGCAGAGAGTTTGTCATCCGCTGAGCCTTTAAGCAACGGACCGCTCTCCTTCTCCGTCCTGCAGGGCGGATCCGGCCTGGCTGGCAGAGGAGGGGCCTTATGACTCTGGGTTTGAGCGGTGCAAACCGCGGGCACAGCACTGTCCCTGGCTCTCCCCCGCTGTGCCCATCCCCGCTAACGGAAGCTCCAGGTAGGGCAAGCATTTCTTTTTGAAGATATTCAGAGACACTTTCGAGACAAGTTCTCATGTCTCTTAGCTTTTGCGGTAGGAAACTGAAAATCTGATACATCTGTTTTTTTTGTTTTTTTACAGGCATGATCTTGATGGAACTCGTCGGAACTACAGCCCGTTTCCATTTGGGCGCGTCTCGCCTGCCTTTTCCTCCAGCTCAGCCTTCAGCTCGAGCCATTTCGGTGAGTCACGCGGGGAAAAGGTCTCCCTCCGTTAACCCCTAAACAATCCTGAGGCCGGGTTCCCCGTGCCAGTACCACGGAACCAGACTCTGGCACAGGATTTTATCCTAAAAACACGGGGCTAAATCAGTGAGGTGTTTGATAGAAATGCAAAGCAAAGCAGCAAAGCTACCTTTCTGATTTCCCCCCTAATCAAGTTAATTGGTTTTTTTTTTTAAGAACTGCACTAAACTTAATTACATAAGGGACACGATACCCACAATATTTTAACTCTCCAGTATCAAATTGTTCCAGTTGCTTTTCCCATAAAGTTTTTTGAAAATGTGAGTCCTGTTTTAGCTTGGCTGCTAGATTTTGACCTTTTTCAGACTTTTCAGAGCTCACTGTTGACCGTGCCTTTCCTCCTCTTCAGTATTTCAGGGCGTGGTCTGCGCCGTCACGTGTCCCAAAGGCGGAGAGAAGCGAGTGGGCCGATCCTCCACCTCCAAAGCCCCCACCAAAGAGTCCCTACCCACCAGAAGATCCGGGCGCAACAGCAAGACCCAAGAGGAGACCCCGGCCTCGGGCCAGGCCTCGCCGCCGCCGTCCAGCCCGTCCGACTCCGACTCCTCGGCCAGCCAATCGGCGAAGCCGGACCGGAGCGCCCAGGCGCCCGCCAAAAGAAAGGGCAAACGGGTGACCAACCGGAAGGCCAGCGGGAAGCGGAAAGCCGCCGCCGCCCGGAAGAAGCCCTCCCCCGATGTGGTCAGCAGCCCGGCGGCCAGCGAGGAGGAGGAAGAGGGGGAGGAGGAAGAGAAGGCGGCGGCAGGGGACACCAGTGGGAAGGAAGAGCAAGGAGACAAAAGCCAAGAGGAGCCGGACGCCAGCGACTCGGACCAGGAGCCTGACGGCCGTCTCAAAGAGGAGCCGGACGCCAGCGACTCGGACCAAGAGCCCGACGGCCGGCTCAAAGAGGAGCCGGACGCCAGCGACTCGGAGCAGGAGCGGGATTCCGGCGGACGGCTAAAAGAAGAGCAGGACGCCTCCGACTCGGAGCAGGAGCCCGACAGCCGGCTCAAAGAGGAGTGGGACGAGCTCAGCTCCAGCGACGAGCGGAGCGGAGCGGGATCTCCGGGCGCCACCGGGGAGGCCGGCGAGGAAACCCCGGAGCAAAGCGGCGAACGGCAGCCGGAGGAGGCGGCCGACGAGGGAAACAACGGCCTCTCGCTGGCCTCCGACTCGCCTCCCGACAGCCCCGCCAGCCCGGCCAGCCCCGTGTCTGACGCGGGCAGCGTCCCGAGCAAAGGAGGGGAGGACGAGCCCCCCAGCCCCATTTCCTCCGCAGGAAAGGAGGCCGAGAGAACCACCTCGCCCTCCCCCTCTGACACCCGCAACTCTCTGCGGGAGGACGCGCCGTCCCCCGAAGACGGCGAGCCGGACGACGACATGGACGTCTGCGCCGACCACGAGGATCCCTCGGAGGAGGAGCCGGAGCCGGAGCCGCCCGGTACCTGCTCTGCGGGGGAAAGCCAGGAGGGCGTGGCCAACGCCCCCGAAGGCGCCGCCGCCAAGGCGGCCGGACCGGACGAGGGCTCCGGAGCAGAGAGCGGGGCGTCTCGGGACGGGGACGCGTCCCAGGACGACACCAGCGTCGTCCCCATGGACTGCAGCTCCCCCGCCGCCGAGCCCGCCCCCTCCGCCGCCCCGGAGGCCGCCGCCCCCGCCCCGGAGGCGCCGGCCGCCAAGGACGACGCGTCCGGCGAGCAGCGGGAGAGGGAGAGGAGCCAGGAGAGGAAGAACGGCAAGCAGCGGCGCTCGCGCTTCCACTCGCCCACCTCCACCTGGTCGCCCCAGCGGGAGGCCCGGCGGGAGGAGGCCCGGAGGGAGGAGCTCCGCAGGGAGGCGTCCGGCCGGCGCTCGCGCTCCCGGGAGCGGGAGGGCAGCCCGCCGTCCAGCCGGGCGCCCCGAGCCCGCAGCCGCGAGAGGGAGCGGGATCGGGAGGGCGAGCGGGGCCGGAGGGACCGCAGCCGCGAGAGGAGGCGCCGGCGGTCCAGGAGCCGCTCCAGGTCTCGCTCCAGGTCCCGCACCAGGTCCAGGTCCCGATCCAGAACGAGGTCGTACCGGCGCGGCGCCAGCCCCGACCGGCCGCCCTCCAGGGAGCGCTCCCCCCCGAAGAAGGACCGCCGAGACGCCTGGCGGCCGGGATCGGGCGGCGAGGGCCGGCGCCACCACGCCGGCGGGCGCTCCGAGAACGGCGTGCCCCCGGAGAGCTCCCCCGAGCACCAGGGCTGGTCCGAGAACCCCGACTGGGTCACCGAGAAGACGCGGGCCGACGCCGAGAGCCGCAGCGCCGGCCCCCGCCGGGATGACCAGCCCCGCGG